GCCAAGGCATGTCGATGTAAGACACAATGAGTTATTATGACATGAGGGATCTCTTTCTTGACCAAAGCCGCGAAACCAGACGTATTACCAAGCATTGCGGGAGCTCCATCGGTGCAGATACTACCAAGTTTATTACTTTATTATTTTTATTATTATTTATTTAGTTACTTCCAGTCTATATTTTGTTCGTTGAAAAACCTTTTCGTCATTTCAAAAACATCTGAAACCTTTGTAGTCTCCAAAAATTAATTGCAAAAAAGAAACTCTTTTTTAATACTATGTGTGTCTTGTTGTACTTAACGGAAAAATACCAAGGTTATATTTTAACATATCGGTGCTTTCATCCAATTGAATGCTGAATAGAAATGGCGAAGCAATTAATTCTTCAACAACTTGTAAAACATTTGACGACATTTCAACAAGTCTAGAATATGTACCAAACATTATGAGAGACCCTGTATATGCCCTACTACGATTATTTTGGTGCATGGTCTACCTTGCCTTGATAAAATTTCTTATATAAAAACGAAAAAGACTAATATTTCATTAAAAGAGTCGCTGAAATATTTTTTTCCAGCTACAACCCGTAAATTTCACACTGTGCGTCGGGGTGAATCCAAGTTTAGGTAAAGTGCCGGATATTTCAAACTGAGCCTTCTTAGTACGAAAATCGTCAATGTCGTCAACATTTCCAGGGTAGACAGTTTTAAGATGTTCTGATAGTTTCGCTGGCTTCATACTTCCATTAATAAGCACTTTACCGCATAAAAAAGCACTGCGGTTTTTGAATTTAGTGATTAAATACCTACTGAATCTGCTGCCCTACACTATTTCTTTTCTTAATAAATATATTTACAGTTAACTGGCGTAATGCGGACCCCTGATACACATGCTGTGGACCCTTAAGGGGCCCGTGGACCACACTTTAAGAAACCCTGGTTTATAAGCATGTACGATGCCTGCCTGCAGCAAGGCGTATTTACGACCCGATGGAAGCAGCAACGACTGGTTCTTCTCCCAAAAGGGAAGAAATAAAAAGGAAAAAAAAAATGATTAATTTAAAAAAAAATCCCAAATTAATCATTTTAGTCATGTACCCAACATGTTAATTTTTTTGTGAATAATGACATGTATTGACTATTTCCATTCTAAATATCTCGAGAACCGTTGCTCATAGAGATTTCTACCAAGAAACATTTTTTACGTAAAAAACATAGTGAATGTATATCTTTTTACTCACTAGTTTTATACAGGTACGGCCGAAAAGTTATTACTTTTCAAAACAGTTAAAACACATGTAGGTGGCGTCCCACAATGCGACACAAATAGGCGTCATATTGACATCAGAATCAAATTTCTCATGTTAAAAAACTTTCAGGCACTAATTTTCATCCAAATATTGACGTTACTTCAGAAATGATTTGGAAAAAATCGAAATAAATATGAAACTTCTACACCCTGTATCTCCGAAACTAAGCATTTTAGGATATACATTTATACGAAGTTTTTTAATGGTGGAATGTACTTAGTTTCAATACAGAAAAGTGGTATTATATGTATTTTGTAGGCACGTTTATTTTATCTTTGACAAAGAAATTTGATAGTGTAATACCGTCTGGGCCAACCAAGCGGGCTAGACAATCTGCTGAGAGTAGGTCTTGGCGGAACAGCAGTACGGAGATTCCTCCGACTGCTGTAAAGGGGGGGGGGTAAAGGAACCAAGAACCAGCCTGGCGCACCACCAACGGACAAGAGGGTGAGCGAGAACCTCTCACCTCTGCTCCGGCAAGGAGAGAAAAAAGCCAGGATGGAAAGCCGTCCAACACCGGAAGGCAAGAAGCACTCTCCTAGCACTGCAACTAGTTCCGGCCCCTGCCAAATCTTAAGTTTAGGTACCGTTTCCACCGACAAATTCGCCGATTCTTGAGATACACAATCTATTACGAGCATGTCCACAGACAATACTGCTGACCCACATGTTGTGAACCTTCGCGTTGCAATCTGCCTTCCAGCAATCTGTGCAATCCAGCCTTCTTCACGGTATCTAACAGCTTAGTTTGGGAGATGTTTATCGACCTCCAGATCTAGATCCACTGAATTTAGTTTTAGCAGGGTCACCACGTGCAGGATGTTAGATCACATACAAAACAAAGATCACATACTCTCAATCATTGTTGAGAGTACCATACATATACGTATACATACTGCCATTACTCGCTGACGAGTATTCGACACGCATCAGAAGATGGTCATGCAAGGCGTTTTCTTTTATGAGCTTTTCTGTGACCTAAAAGCTCGATATGTGATGTTATTTGCCTACCGCACTCCGGACATTCAAAAATCTCATTGCTTTGTTGCCTCTTTACTTTTTACTTGCCGCTGTTAACTGAGATTACAGTTCTTCTCCATTGAGTTCTATTGTGAACTGCTTCTTCCCACTCATTCTGCATGTTAATCCCCTTTAAGTTTTCGTGGAAAATGTCCTTGCACCTTTTGAGTTGTCCCCCCGGCTTCCTCTTACCGTCTACAAGCTCACCGTAAAGCAGAGATTTTGGTATGCGGTTTTCTTGCATTCTGCATACATGACAAGCCCATCTTAAGCGGGATTTTGTAACTATGACTTCAATTCTCTCTTGAGACATGATGGAACCACCGGATTCTTAAGAGTTGTATAAGGTGTCTCTGTTGCAACTTGTTTAATGCGTTCATGTGTTGGCACCCAGGTTTCGCTCCCATATAACATGGTGGGGATTATAATTGCTTGGTACGCGGTAAGTTTCGTTTTTGTACTCAAGTCGAAATTGTAGAAAACCCTGGCTTTTAATTTCAGAATGCTCTTGAGGCGCTGCTAATCCTGTGTGGAATATCAGACTATCATAGGCCTTTTCCGATATCAAACTGCCGTGCCGAGGTAATTGAATTCCGCTACATATTCCAATAGTTCTTCTCCGATTTTTATAGCATTGTTATGATCTTCTGGAGGAGTGCACATGCTTTTATTTTTGTCGATATTTAGCTTAAGGACCAAAGCCTCGTATGCCCAGGTATATGTGTTCAACATTTCTTGTAATTGTTGTAACGTGTTTGCAACTAGAGTGCAGTCATCAGCGGTGGCGTGCAGTACCATTTACTGTAGGGTAGGCAACAGAATCAAAAATATGAAAAAATTGGTCAACTGCGAGTCGGACTCGCGCACGTAGGGTTCCGTACCATTCATTATCTATACAACATTAGGCACTATATTATTATAAAAAAACTTTCCGATTTAGTTGAAATTTTGAATGCGCGTATAAGTAATTTAAAAAAAATGAAGAAACACATTACTACAAATTGTATTAATCAATAATAAATATGTAAAAAGTAAAAATAAATATGTAAAAATATGTAAAAATTAAAAAAAACAGTCGCCTTGACTAGGATTCGAACCTGCCTTACTTCGGCTCCAACGTCATAGCAGCGTAAAGTCCGAACGCTTTAACCACGCGGCCACCGAGGACTTGAAAGATTCTATGTAAAATTCTTACTGAAAAGATAATGTTTAGTGAAAGTACTTTTTTACAAACCAAACCAAACATTTATTTACTTTTGTTTTTAGTATTTGTTCTTATAGCGGCAAGCGGCAACATAGATACATTATCTGTGAAAATTTCAACTGTCTAGCTATAACGGTTCATAAGATAGACCTTTGTGACAGACGGATGGACCGACGGACAGGGAAGTCTTAGTAATAGGGTTCCCTTTTTTACCCTTTGGGTACGGAACCCTAAAAACTAAAAAAAAACGTATGCATTACATAATATATGTACAATGTACCAATGTACGTATATAAAATTTACTGTCTAACGTATTTTAACTTCAAACTCAAACAAAAAAAATTCAAATAACAGCAAATAAATTTAATTATTTATAGATTAATTCGAAACGGCAATTTATATCAGCACTACACTCACAATCTAACGACATGATTAGTTTTCATTAGACACGTTAAAAAAATCTGCAAAACGAATAATCTGTCCATCATTCAATCATTATTTCTTCCCGATAGGCCCATTAAGCAGTAAAAAAAATAATTAAAATAGCAGCAGCAAAGGTATCTGACAGAGTTTGGAAGTACCTACAGAAGGGTACAGAAAATGTAAAGAAAAATTATTCGCAGAGAGATTTATAGACACGAATGAAACAAGTCCAAAGAAAATTTACAGCAAGAAGACACAGTGTAATTTATTTTCAGCTTTTTTAGGTGGAAAAAAGGCAATAAATCAAGAAGAAAAAAAAAGGAAAAATAATTAGTGGACACTAAAAATGCTAAATGGAAAATTGTACAGAAAAGTTGGAAGTCCTAAAATTGAGAAAAACTATATATCTAATTAGAATTAAAGTTATGGACAATGCGTGTAAGTTAAGTCATATTTTTTTGTGTTTTAATTGTTAATCATAGTTAATGTACGATGATTTGTTTTATCTTATTTATTTAAAAATATGGACCCAATAAGCAAGTACAGAAAAATCGCTTTGGGCTACACTCAAATCTTAATTGAAAATAAAATTTTAAAAAAGTAACAGGTAAAAATTATTAATCTTAAAGGATAAACTGGTCTTTTCCCTGAAAAAAAGGTTGACTACCTCTTCGATATCGATATTTATTTCTCTATGTATGCTTAATAGAGCAAGTCCTGTCAATCGCTCCTGACCTGTAGAGTTACGTAGGAAGTCCTTCAATCGTCTTATGCCGCAACCGCACATGCGGCATTTAGCGAACTCCGAGCGCTCGTCAACTACCGAACGCTCGTGATCGGACTTCGCCTTTCCATCCACACATGCTGGCTCTGATAGCAGCAACATAGAGACAAGCGCTTGTTCTCGTCGCCGATCGAGTCGCCGAACTCCGCATGTGTGGTTGCTGCATTAGGGTTGAAAAAGACCTTTCTGGTGTAGCTGTTGACACTGGTAGAGTTGCTAGGATCATTAATTAAATGTATATATTTGGAAATATACACTGGTTACACTCCGATTATCGTTTCGATTGCATTTTTAGGTCGGTCGACTGCAGGTAGTTGCTTCCATTTTTGCCGCCACAAGTCTAGTTCTGCCGCTAAAGTGTCATAGTCCAAGAATTCTTTGTCTAATAGCAGAACAATGACAAACGTTAATCATGTTAATGACCAGCAAAACCACCATAGATAAATGAAACAAGTTTAGATTGGAATGTGCCCATAAGGACAATGTAAACACTATTTGGCGCTATTCTTGCAACGGTTGCGACCCAAAACTTTTGAAAATTTCGGAGCGGTTCGGCTTTTTCCGGAATTATATCGCCAAATATTGTTTATTCAAATTTATTATTATTTTCGTTTAATTTTATAAATAAAATACAGTGTGTTGCATACAAGAAACTTTATTTTATATAAGGACGCATGTGTGAAATACCTATGAAACATTGGAAACCGACGTTATGCCACGATCCACGATGGTTTTTGCAGTTCACACTTTACAGCACAGCTTTTTAAGTTTTTGATGCCACTTTTTCACAATTATCACCAGTTGGAGTAAATAAAACTTGAATTAAACTCACAAGATAGCAATAATTACTTTGAAAATGGACCCTATAAACACTTTTCGGACTTTCTTTAATCAGACCGGTTTAGATTTTGAAAGATTATTATGATTTTTGAAGATTCTAACTTTGACAAGAGAACATTATTTCTGTTTTTGTTTGCCGTTGTTCTTAGCGACCGCTATAGCAGCGCCAGATCGTGTAAATGAACCCCCAAAACACCCCCTCAGATACGGCCCTGAGCAAGTAGATAAAATTTTAGTTCGTAAAATTAAAGGGAGATAAAATACACGAAATTTTCATTAATTTAACAAGTATTAGCAATCACCTAGTAAAGTCAAGCTACGAGCGACGAAAAAATAAGTTATCTAAAGATAGAATAAAGGAGGCTAAATTTATTTTTGCGCAATTAAAGAAAGAAATTTCCGCTGTTAATGAAAAAATTGAAAACTCTGAAATATCTCAGTCGGATATTGTTGAAAAACTTGGAAACTGTTGAAAAAAATTAATAAAATATAAAGCGAAATTTTAAATATTGAAAGCGAGAGTACTGGAATTTTAGTGTCAAAAATGCCTTCATTTGATTTAAAAATAGCTGCAAGTCTCTTACTTGTCATGAATGACTCGGAGGATATTACGCTTAAGCTAATAGAAGCAATCGAATTTTACGAAACTATGATTGATAATGATAGTAAATCTACATTAATTAAATTTGTTCTAAAAACACGGCTTTCAAAGGCTAAGGCTAAAGTTAAATTACGCTTCTGTAGAGGATTTATTAGGTGACATGAAAATACATCTGTTAACTAAAAAGTCACATACGGCCCTTCAGGCACAGTTCTTCTTCTTCTTCGGGTTCCATCTCCTAATGGAGGTTGGAAATCATCATGGTAATTCTAACTTTGTTAACGGCTGCTCTGAATAACTGGTTTGAAGTCATTCCAAACCATTCTCTCAAATTCTTGAGCCATGATGTTCTTCTTCTTCCTTGGCTCCTTCTGCCCTTTATCTTTCCTTCTATTATGTTCTGCAGCAGGGCATATTTAGGTCCTCTCATTATGTGTCCAAAATACTCAAGTTTTCTCTTTTTAAGGGTGTTAATCACCTTTTCGTCCTTCTGAATTCTGCGTCGCAGTTCTACATTTGTAACCTTGTCAGTCCATGCAATCCTCAGCATACGCCGATAAGACCATCTTTCGAATGCCTCAAGCTTCTCCATTTCGGCTTTTTTAATTTTTTAATTCCAAGCCTCTGAACCATAGAGTAGAGTTGCAAATATGTAACCCCTTAGCATTCTTAATCTAAGCTTTAAGTTGATGTTTCCACTGCAGATACATTTTTTGAGTTTTACGAAGGCTGCTCTAGCTCCTTCTATTCGAGCTTTTATTTCTGCTGATTGATCCAAGTTTTCGGTCAACCAACTGCCTTGATATTTATATTGTTGTACTCTCTCCATAGGTGTATCATCTATTAGAACATTGGCTTGGACATCTTCTCTCTTAGTGATGATCATAAATTTAGTTTTCTTAGGGTTCATTTTCAGGCCATAGACTCTACACGTGTTGTTTAGTCTTTGTAGAAGTGTTTGCAGACCCTCCACGTTGTCTGCTATAAGGACGGTATCGTCGGCGAACCGCATATTATATAAGACCTGCCCATTAATAGTGATGCCCTCCTTTCTACTAGTCAAGGCCTCCCGAAAAATTGATTCGCTATATATATTAAACAATAGCGGAGAAAGTATACATCCTTAACGAACGCCGCTCAGAATCTTTACTTCACCAGAAAGTTGGTCGTCCACTATAACCTTCGCTGTTTGTCCCCAATAAAGATTTGCTATTATCCTGATTCTTGGCTATTGATATTCATGCCTTTAAGTATTTCAATTAGTCAATGATGTTGAACTTTATCAAAAGCCTTCTCAAAATCTATAAAACACACATACAGGTCCTGATTCATATCAATACACATCTGTGCTAACACATGCTAAACAGAGCCTCTCTCGTACCCATGCCTCTTCTAAACCCTACTTGGTTATTACTGATTTCTGAGTCCACCTTAGCAACAATTCTATTATAAATAATTCTCAAAAACACTTTCAGTGTGTGACTCATCAAGGCAATTGTTCGATGGTCGGAACATTCTTTGGCTTTGGGTTTCTTGGGCAACGGTACAAAACTAAACATTAACCAGTCCTTTGGTATAATGCCCGTAGTTTATATAACATTAAACAGATTAACCAAAATTTCAATGGCTTCATCATCTATAAGTTTGAGAAGCTCGATTGGAAGTTCATCAGGACCATTTGCTTTACCACTCTCGATCTGTTAAGTTGCGTGTAATACTTCTTCTCGCAAAATGGTAGGACCTTTGGCTTCTGAGAAACTGGGCACCATGTCCGGACGATTATCGTAAAAAAGGTCTTTTATATATTCAGACCAACGAAGCAGCTGTTGTTTAATATCAATGGTTAAAGTACCATTTTTATCCATTATTACTGTCGGTTGTTTATGTTTCGCCATTCCAGTGAGTTCTTTGATCTTTTTGTGCAAGTTAAAGCTATCATACTTTTTCTCATACTCCTCAATGGCTTCACACTCTCTACGGACCCAGTCTTCTTTGGCCTGTCTGATCTTCCATCATGTTCTGTATTTCTTTATATTTAGCGGCATTGTTTTTGTTATTTCGCCCTTTTATCCATTAAATCCAAGATTTCATCATTCATTAGAAGTGTCTTGCAAAGTTTAGATACCTTTTAAGTTGTCATTTATTTCTGTCTGTGTTTGTTGAGGAACATCAGCATTTTCAAGCTTTTTCAAGTCAAGCCTCTGTTTTTTGCTGGGTTTTTTAAGCTTTTTAAACGTGATTTCTATACTGGCGACTACTGGGTTATGGTCAGAATTGACATCGGCTCCTGGATATGTTTTAGCAGATTTAACACAGTTTTTGAATCTGTCGTTAATCAAAATAAAGTCTATCTGGTTACGTATGATATTATCCTGGTTATGCGCCGGTGACTTCCATGTCCACAGCCTACGCTTTGGCAGTTTAAAAAATGTATTGCTGACAACAAGGCTTTTATTCTGCCAAAACTCCACCAGTCTACCCCCCCGTTCATTTCTCACTCCCAATCCGAACTTTCCGCCACATTTCTCCACCTCCCCTTGCCCAACTTTAGCATTAAAATCACCCATTATAACGGTGACTTCATGGTTCTTGGTGTGATTCCATGCTACTTCAAGCTCTTTGTAGAAATTTGCTATTTCGTCATCGCTTTTATCAGCTGTTGGAGCATAGACTTGTATAATATTTAGTGGAAATGGTTTAGCGTCTAATTTGATAAGCATTACACGTCCGGACAAAGGCAAGAAACCAGCCACCGAACGACCAATGGATTTGCACACAATTATCGCAACGCCATATCGATGAGTTGGGTTGATTCTTCTTCTTAAAGTGCCAAGCAGATTCCTGCGTAGGCGACCGTCCATTTGCATCCTGTCAGATTTCTCTATTTAAAGAAGCATTTTGGAGAGACATAAAGTCATGTATTCCCGTCCATTGTCGAATGTTCCTGAGCCATGAAAGTTTTTTTCTTCCTATTCCCCTTTTTCCTTCGATTTTTCCTTGTAGGATAAGACGTTGGAATTCATAACGAGGACCACGCAGGATGTGTCCCAAATAAGACGTATTTCTTTTCTTAATGGCGTCGAATAGTTCACGGCTAGTCAGACCGGCTTTTCCAAGGACTTCTTCATTTCTTACCAGGTCTGTCCAAGGGATTCTAAACATTCTTCTAATAGTCCACATTTCAAATCCCTCCAGTCTGTTTATCGAGGTTACTTTAAGAGTCCAGGCTTCGACACCATACAACAAGACGGACCAGACATAACATTTAACCATTCTATATCTGAGTTGAAAGCTGAGATCATTATTCGTTAGGAATTTTTTAAGTTTAAGAAAAGTTGATCGGAGCTTGTTCAATTCTGCTTCTGATCTCGACTTCTGGATCCCATCTGTTTGTAACGAGGCAGCCTAGGTATTTAAATTTAGTGACTTCCTCTATTAGAATGCCGTTTAGATATAAAGGGGTGGCAGGGATGTTATTTTTGCTAACCACCATAAACTTGGTCTTCTTTGAGTTAATTTTTAGGCCCAGGTGCTCACTTTTCTCCTGAACCATATGCAGAAGTGCTTGAAGGTCGTCAGCGTTGTCGTAGCGTTGGGTTGATACTTGACGAGAAATATAACGTTCCGTTCTTGATAGGAACTTTTCCTGACCCAGTCCACCGGACATCACTGATACCTACTATATTTAAATTAAGCCTCTCCATCTCTAAAATGAGGTTATCAAGTTTACCTGGCATCAGTAAGCTTCTTACGTTCCATGTAGCTACTTTCATGACTAACCCGGGGATTCTTAGCACCCTCTGACCATCTAAGGTCTGCCGGGGACTAAGGGCCTGTGTTGAGATTTTCTTAGTCATGATTGATTGTATTAGGAATTATACTGAGGTGGTTTTCCGTTGCCTTCCTCAGGGCAGTATCATAACTATTAAAACTGATTCAGTCATACTTATTAATTTCCAATAATAAACCGGTCCAGAATCATTTTCTTTACGCTTTATTTTGGTATTGGTGCAACTGCTGCCCTACACCAGGACTCTTATATTACCCCTAAAAGCAGGGTTGCCACTTGCGCTATGTTCGCCGTACCGAGGTTCTCCTCCGCCTTCCATATCGGTGTGGACTTCACCCGTAACCCTGGGCAAGGGACCCTATGCAGGTGCTAACTCTCCGGGTCAGAGAGTACCTGGAATCTACAGTGAGCAGGGGTCGATTCATTTCTCCCTGATAGACAACACTAGAAGTCTATCCACTACCCGCAAGGCACACGCTACAGGCACAGTTATTTTCTGCTAAACAAGGAGGAAAAAGTATTGCTGATTTTGGAAAGGAGTTGGAGAACATTTTTGTGAAATTAACTATTTCTCAGACTAATAGAGATGCTAACGCTTTTGAAGTCTTACGGCCTATTAACGAAAAAGCTGATATTAAAAGGTTTGCAAGCGGCCTGCGAGATCAAAGACTTAGCACAGTTATTTCCTCGAAAAACTTTGAAGCTCTAAAAGATGCCATTAGATCTATGCAAGACGAAGAAATTTCTTCTCAAAACAGCAATTAAATGTTCAACATTTCATATAAGCGAAGAGGAAATTTTAGACCATTTTCTAGACAAGTAAATAGAAACGCATCGGGAAATAGGTACGGAAACAATTTTCATAATAATAGAGGATTTTATAATAACACAAATAGTAATTTTCAACAGCAAAATACAAACAGCCGTAATCAGGATAACTTAAATCAAGCTCAGCAGTATTCAAGGCGTCCTAGAGGTCGTGCATTCACTCGCGGTAATATGAGAGGCTCCCGAACATCAGGTCATGGTATGCATTTTGCTACACAGTCAGAAACAAATAATCATGTAAATAATAATAATTTAGAAATTACTCAGCCTGTATCAGAATTTTTTCGTCCCTAAAAATGAAAATATTCATAAATGTTTTACTTATCCAGGAAAGTGCTCAAATTTTGTCACTGTTTTAATAAAAACCCAAAAAATTGATTTTTTGATTGATACCGGGGCAATATTAAATGCTATTAAATTAAGATATTTAGATCCTAAGATAGGTATACATAAAGAATATATTGAAATTAAAGGTATAAGCGGTAGCTTAGTTTCAGTATATTGTTGCGGGCCGGTGTGGACTCGACCTAACCTCACAATATGGCCCGCCCTCGGATGACCTTAACATCGCATAGACACCGCAATGATTCATTCGTTCGAGAAGAATCGAGTCCCACTGGAATGGACGAGTACATACGAGAACATTCGAAAACCTTCTCTACGCACCTAACGATCTATGGACAATTCTAGAGTTCTTTACCTGCCGGTATAAAAGCCGGCGGCCGTGGCCTACAGGGGGCAGTTATAAATATACAGTTGACGCGCTAAAATTCAAAATAAATTCTTAGTTATAAATCGTTTGTAAATAGTTCTATAAGTCTTTTATCGTTATTATTTTTGTTCATTAGTGTAAATAAATAGTGTTTAAATAAATTGTGACTTTCTATCCACACGGAACCGACGAAAAACGTAACAATTGGTGTCAAGTGTGGCGTGTGTGATAGACTAGAAGAATAAAAAAAGACTGACCATGGCTCTGAAAAAATTGTTGAAAGACTTGAAAGTGTCCGAACTGAAATGCATATTGGAAGAGAGAGAGTGCGAGACAGATGGAAAGAAAAGCATTTTGCAAGCTAGACTGAGAGACGTTTTGGTGGAGGAAGGTGAGGATCCTGACACATTTTACTTCGAGCTGGAAGGTGACCTTGACTCGTCATTGAAAAATTTACAAGACAATTTAAACGACAATTTGAATAGTAAAATAATTGACTTGGAAGTTAATTTAGAAGAGAAAATCAGTGATAAAATTAATATTTTAGAAGATAAGATCGCAAAAATTCTAAAGACATACAGGCCAGCTTTAATAATAAAATAATTAATTTAGAAGAAAAGATAACAGAAATTATAGAGAATTCTACGGAACTACAAGACAAAATAACACAAATTGAGGACGATGTAAATAAAAAAATCGAAATTTTAAAACAAGAAATAGAAAAGGCCAATTCACCAAAATGTCAAGAAACATCGGAGGCACCGAAACTAGTCGAAAATAAGTATATCTCAAAGTCAGTTATTAAGCCTCCACAGTTTGACGGAAAACCGCTTGGGCCAATTATTTTTGCCAGTTTGAGGCCGCTGCGAGAGCGAACGGATGGACAATCGCTGAAAAGGCTACCGCTTTGACTGTCGCACTGCGAGGAGATGCGACTGATATTCTGCAGACATTGTCACATCGGAACAGGGAGATTATCAGCAATTGGTACGACATTTAGAAATGAGGTACGGCCAAGCTCATTTGGAACATGTCTATCATTCCCAGCTAAAAAATCGCATTCAAAAGTCAAATGAGTCTCTGCAGGAGTTTGAAGCCGACGTAGCCCGCCTCGTTCGCCTTGCGTACCCTGCTATGCCCGAAAATGTTATGGAGCGCTTAAAAGTACAGGCTTTTATTGATGGTTTATGTGACAACGAGACAAGGCAAACACTTCTTTTAGCTCATCCAACGCATTTGGGAGATGCCCTAGCACGTGCCCTGGAATTTGAGGCCGCGAAAGAATGCTCTAGGTCTCTAGGATTTGTACGGGCTGTTGAGGAGAGTTCCGACGATTCCAAAGTGGAAAGGATTGTGCGGAAAGTACTGGATCAGTATATGAGTAAGAAGGGGGGACCGATTCGCTGTTGGAATTGCGGACAGATGGGAAATCGTTGCAAAGAAGAGAAAGAAGTGAAAGTCTTAAGGACGACTGTGGTTGGTGATAGTTGGCAAACCGAAGATCTTGCAAATGACCAAATCAGTGATCCAGAGTTGGGCTTGGTGATTAACTGGAAAAACGCGGACCAGAGACCAACGTGGGAGGAAGTTTGCAGATATTCGCCGAACGTGAAGTCGTACTGGTCCCAGTGGAATTCATTGGTAATAGATAATGGATTACTTCGCCGTGTGATTGAGAGACCAGAGGGACAAGAAGAGAGAAGGCAGATCGTCATTCCAAAGAAGAGGGTCCCGGAAGTCTTGGCGGAAGTTCACAATGGAACCAGCGGTGACATCTTGGTGTTACCAAGACACTTGGCAAGCTGCGTGAACGGTTCTACTGGGTGAACTGCAAAGAAGATGTGAGGGCCTGGTGTAAGAAATGTGACATTTGCGCAGCCATTAATGGGCCACAAAAGCGTGGTAAAGCCCCTATGCGCCAGTACAATGTTGGTAGTCCCTTCGAACGAATAGCGATCGACGTGGCTGGTCCTTTCCCGGAGACGAACGATGGCAACAAATACATTGTGGTAGTAATGGATTACTTCAGCAAATGGGTCGAGGCCTACGCGTTGCCAAATCAAGAAGCGTCCACGATTGCTGATGCCCTTGTTAAAGAATGGATCTGCAGGTTTGGTGTTCCCATGGAGCTTCATTCAGATCAGGGAAGAAACTTTGAGTCCAATCTGTTCCAAGGCGTCTGTGAAGTCCTGAACATCCGCAAGACCAGGACGACTGCTCTACATCCACAATCCGATGGGATGGTTGAACGCATGAACAGAACTATCAACCGTTATCTGGCCAAAGTAGTCTCTGACCACCAAAGAGACTGGGACAAATTTCTTCACCTGTTCCTGTTGGCCTACCGTTCATCCGTCCAAGAATCTACAGGGCAAACTCCAGCCAGCATCGTTATGGGACGGGAAGTGCGCCTACCCTGTGATCTGAAATTTGGTTGCCGACCGGGAGAAGAAGTCGCCGGAGAAGATTATGTCCACACACTACGTCAAAGGATGGACGACATTCATCAGAGAGTCCGCCTAAATATTCAAAGTGCT